AGTATGTCTGGGAGGAAGATGTTTTAATTGTGGAACTGTTGGACCTAGTAGTTGAGGGTATGTTGATGAGTGCAAGTTACTGAGGAAGGCAGATGGTCAGAAAGATTGGAATGACTGGGGATCTACAAGATGAAATAGAAAAGAAAGGCCACATTGACAAAACTAAGAGGTGACTGGAGAGACTGAGGGGAACGGGCAAAGTAGAGTGGGATAATAGGTCCTGGGAACATTAGAGGAATGTTCCTCAATTTGGATAATCATTGGTAGTGCCTGGTAGGATGTGCACACTTTTGTTGGATTTTGTAGATAGGCAAGAAGCTGAGCAGGCTTGTATAGGCTGGCGGCCGTGGGTAGGAAGGCCACCTGCTTCTCTGTAGTGGAAAAATCTACCAGGGGTGAAGAAAGTTTTAGGTATCTCTTTGGTGAGGGAAGATGACTCCAGTACCAAAGCAGAGCTTTAATTTAAAGGTCATTTCCTTTTATTCTCATCCCAAGGAGTCCCTGGAATGTACCCAGAAACTACATGGACAGAAATTTAAAGATTATTTTCTCATTTTTTCTGGATTGTGTCACCAAACCTGCTTCTAGTGTCATTTTTTTTTTTTTTATTTTATCAGATGAGAAGGCCTTCCTTCAGTCAGCACATTTGTCTAGCTGGAAACATTGGAAGGGAATAGTTTTGTTAGTGTGTAAGATTGACTCTGACTTTCATTAATTTCCATCTGTGGTGACAGTGGAAATCCTTAATTCATCAATTCTAGGAGAAATAATTCATACTCTTGTGTTACCAGGTCACCCTTTGTCTATTTCTAGACAATCAGAGTCCCCTTCTGGCTCTTTAGTGTGGCAGTGAGTGGGGCAATCTTGTTTTCAGTGTGTACTTCTGTTCAAATTGTAGCCAGGCTGAATGAAATTGCTTTTAGCTTAAGTGCTGAACTGTTAGTGGATAGTTATTATTTTCTCTCTCTTGGCTTGGACAGCTGAAACTACTTGGGTAGTTCATTTCTTGGTCATCAAAATCTAGCTTTCACTTGATAATTTATATTTTTGTTCCAATCTAGTTCAAAAAGGCAATTCCTTAATTATCTTCTGTAGCTCAGATCCTTTGGCTGAAATTCTCATTTGGCTGAAATATTGTAGAGAAAGTTAAAAATTAGAGATCCTGCCTGAAATCAGAGTTGAATAGCTCATGTATGACTACAGTTATATCTATGTTTGCCTGTAAGAAGTCTTGGCTGTAACCTAGTAGTAAGGAACCCAACACTTCACAGGAATGCCCTAAAGAATTCCTAAGGAAGAAGTGACAGAGCTGGGAGCCTGTGACATGCCACCCTCATCCTTCAGCCACCATCATGCACTTTATTATTGTGTGTATGCATGTGTATCATGCACACATATGTGTCTTTATGTTTTGGGGAGGATGATGTATACATAAGATCGTCATGGGAAAGTAGGGCTCTTCAACCACAAACCACTTGAAAGTCAGTGTCAGAGAGGAAAGTACTCCAGTGCCATGCCTGAGGTAACTTAGGTATCAACAGAGATTCACCTGTAATTCTCCATGTGGCGCTCCTTTCTGTCTGTGTATTGTCCTGGACAGGACAGTCTGCCAGCCTGTAGCCATGGCAAAACCATCTTCCCTGTTAGCAGCTTCCGAGAGGAGAGTATCTGTTCTTTCATTTAGTGTGTTCAGAGATGTCTTTATTTTCAAGCTCAGAATAGCCTTTTGGGGACAGTTCTTCTGGTTTACTGTAATTGTGAAGCTCTTCCCTCTATGGCTGAAGCTTGTTGTGGTTCATCTTTTGTTTGGAAGAAAAGGATAATGCTCAGTTGCAGTCTCCCACAGCACAGTTTTTAAATGTAGTTTGAGACTATTTCTTCAAACACTATCTCTTATGTTTTCAACTAATAAAACCCTAATTAGTGGTTTGATTACCTAACTCATCATTTGTCTTTCTGTCTTTGTAGAACAATAGATTCTGTACTTCCATGGGCTTTAAGTTAGGTCTGTTGGTGGCGCATACCCTTAATCCCAGCACTCGGGAGGCAGAGGCAGGTGGATCTCTGTGAGTTCAAAGCCAGCCTGGTCTCCAGAGCGAGTGCCAGGATAGGATCCAAAGCTACACAGAGAAACCCTGCCTCGAAAAGCCAAAAAATTAAAATAAAATAAAAATAAAATAAAAAGATGACCACTCCTTTCACTGAGTCACCTCTAATTTAAGTGTGTGGTGGTTTTGGCCTAAATTATCAAGGGAAAGCTAGATTTTTGATGACTAAGAAATGAACTACCCAAGTAGTTTCAGTTTTCCATGCCAGAAAAGAGAAAATAATAGTTATCCATCAAGAATTAAGCATTTATGCTGAAAGAGTAGAACCAACTAGTAGCTTTCTCTACTCTATTCTCAGCCAAGTTTTTTTAACCTTCAAATTGGCACTCAGCAGGCTCATTAATAAGGCACATCATGACGACATCTGGATGCCTCTATTTACACTGTCTTTCAAAAGGCTTCCTATTGGAAGTTGGTTATTAGCTACACCTTTTTCTTTTGAAACCCCTCATATCCACCTTGGAAGAGTTACAATTATTAAGAACAAGGATAAAGCCTCATTTGTCTTTCTTTTCTAAAGTGCTAAGTACCATGTCTTACACAGAGTCCACGGACAATAATGTATGCTGCACGGTGAATAACTGAACCATATTACTGTTCTTCCATGTGTTCATAGAGCTTAGCACCTACTTGTATCTCTGCCTTCCTTTCCTTCCTTGTAATTCTTGCACATTATAGGAATTTTTCTCAGAGTATTGTCACTTGAATCTTAAATTTGCTTCATGGTTCAAAAAACACAGCGAGAAAACTATTACTAGTCTGGTTGGCCCTAGGTTTGAATTTAACTGCCAAATTAGGATTGGCAGTTTGTGACCTGGAAGGTAAAGTAACTTTGGAAGGATTTTTTAATAGGTCAGTCTAAATTCTTTATGATTAAAAAGCTAAGAATTAAAGACTAATTTGATAAATGCATGCAATGGTTTATATCTGTTGTTTACCCCACAATAAGGTATATGTTAAGAAGGTTGTTTAAGGGGCTGGCTCAGAGGTTAAGAGCACTGGTTGCTCTTCCAGAAGTCCTGAGTTCAATTCCCAGCAACCACATGGTGGCTCACAACCATCTGTTATGAGATCTGGTGCCCTCTTCTGGTGTGCAGATAGACATGGAAGCAGCATGTTGTATACAAAATAAATAAAGAAAATATTTTTTTTTCTTTTTTAAAGAAGATTGTTTAAAAACCAGGCCTGGTGGTACACTCCTTTAATCCCAGCACTGGGGAGTCAGAGGCAAGTGTATCTCTGTCAGTTCGAGGCTAGTCTAGTCTACAAAGAGAGTTTCTGGACAACTAGAGCTGTTACACAAAGAAACCCTGTCTCAAAAAAAAAAAAAAAATCAAAATATAAAAGGGCAAAAAAAAAAGCTGTTTAAAAATTTTAATTATATTTGTGTGTGTGAGTTTTATCGGTCACAGCACACATATGGAGGTCAGAGGACAATTTGCAAGAGTTGGTTCTCTCCTCCTCCATGAGGCCTGGTGTCTGAACTCAGGTTGTTAGGCTTAGTGATAAGTGCTTTTATTTGCTGAACCATCTTGCCAGCCAATAAAAGATGATTTAACAATGCTACCTTACTGTGAAACTGAAATTTGCTTTAGAAAATTATTTAAGAAAGTCCTAGGGACTGGAGAAATGGTGCAGCAGTTAAGAGTACTGGCTACTCTTCCTGAGAACCCAGGTTCACTTCCTAGAACCCATATATAGTGGCTCACAGCTCTTTGTAACGCCAGTTCCAAAGGATCTGATGCCCTCTTTGGCCTCTACAGACACTGCACACATGGGGTACAACCACGTATATGAACACCTCTCTCTCTCTCTCTCTCTCTCTCTCTCTCTCTCTCTCTCTCTCTCTGGTTTTCAAGGCAGGGTTTCTCTGTGTAACAGCTCTGGCTGCCCTGGAATTCACTTTGTAGACCAGGTTGTCCTTGAACTCACAGAGATCTATCTGCCTTTCTGTCCTAAGTGTTGGGATTAATAGCATGTACACTACCACCTGGCTTAAAATAATATCTTGAGAGAGAGACAGAGAAAGGGAGGGAGGGATGAAGGGAAGAAGGAAGGGAGGGAGGGAGGAAGGAAGGTTATGAGAATATCCTGGGGTGTAGGATTTGTTTTCATGTAGTAAAGAGGGTGGAAGTAGACTTCTACTTTTCCCAAGATGCTATTGTTGTTGGGCTCTGGGGGTACTGGTGCTGCTTCAAAGGAGCTGAAATCTCTTACTCTGGATGTCCTGTGCATAGTTTCTCTCAGATGAGAGAACAAACTTGTGTATTTTACAGCAAGGCCTCTGCATCCTCATCAACCAGCTGAGCCAACAAATATGCACTCCTAAGGATAGCTGGTTATCCGTCTGTGGGCCATTTGCCCAATTCAGCTACAAATGCTTAATGTTGGAGGTCAATTGCTTCTCAATCTGTCTGTCATTTAAAACAGATAATTTAAATTACTTTTTCTTGTTCTTAGGTGAGGAATAAGTGTTTTTGTAAATTAGATCTGCTTGTTTGGTGAACAATAGACTAGATTCTATTTTTTAAAATTATGTAAGTACTTAATTTCTGTTCCACTACACATAGTGAGGAAGATGATGGAGAGAAATGAATAGACCACAGGTATAGGAAAAGCAACTGAAAAGCCTAGATTTAAGTGGCCAACTTGTTTGTAGGATTATATTAATATAAAGCATTGGTTGACGATAGATTTGCCCTTAGCTGATGTTAGCAGAAAATAGTACTCTGTCATAAACCTGTAAGTGAAAGTTTTATCAGAACAAAGGAAGAAAATGTCTTGAACCTACTCAGGTGTACCTTGGTGCAGCTTCCCGTCTTTCATGGATAGGTTTTCCTCCATGTGGGTGCCAGGGACACCTGACACCAGCGTTTCATGTTTTACTTTCAGGATCAGTTCAGCGATATGAGAATCAGCATAAACCAGACGCCTGGGAACAAACCTGACTTTGGGTTTACAATAAAATGGGATTTTTCTGGGATCTCCGTAGCATCAGTTGAAAAAGGTAAACCATATGCCTAACTATATCGTGCTACCTTCTCTGCTGTGTATGGGAATTAGAAGCAACTTGAGTTGGGTGTGGGGTGGGGGCATGGGAAAGACGCATTTCCGTGGAAGACAGTGGCAAGGTCGCTTCTGCAAGACTAGTAGTTGGAATTACAAACTACATATTGTTTATTCTCCCTTCCTAATTCGTTTTGTTTTGCAAAACGAATTATTTTTTGACCTTAGAGAATTAAAAGAAAAACCTCAATTTCTAGGAATGTTAACAAGTAGTAGTACTTACCTTGAAGACTTAGTGTGAAATTTTTGTGGATAATTGTATTTTGTAGCAGATGTCTACAGGCCTATGATAGATCAACATGGGGGTTGTTGTTCTTTGTAGTGACGTGAACCCAAGTGGGTCCCACATGCTAGGTCCTCTGTCCCTAGTCACTACCTGCCAAGAATGATGTTTTCTAACTATTGTTAGCATTTTGTCTGTCGTTTACTATATATGTTCAGCGTGCTTTGGGACTTCTGCTGGATCAGTCAGGGTTATGTCAAGGCAAACCCAGCACCTGCTAAATTTGCCTTCAAGGTTGAAAACTGCAATGAGAGCTATCCTATTTGAGAGGAGGAGGTCCATGTTCTCATATTTTTACCGTACAGAATTTGTGTTGATATCGGCTCTTGCTTTTAAATATCAAAATTGATGGAATCATGGTAGTTTAAGTGGTAATTTTATGCAGTTTGAAGGGACTCTTTTTTCCCTTTCCCCCAGAGTGCTAAATGATGCTCAATTAAAGTATAATATATTTCACATTTTTAATTTAAAAATAATTGCATGTTTTCTTTGTACTTAGGAGAGTTAATTATTTTTTGGGGGGGGCTGGGGGAGCTGTACTTCCCATTTCTCCTTTCAGTGTTTATGAAGATGCAGACTCTGAAATGAACAATGCCCCTGGTACTTGATGTGGTCTAGGGATTCAGTTATTAGATAACTTAAAAATTCCAGTGTTGCTGCTCTACTGGAAACAATAAGAACTAGTCGAGATGAAAATGTAACAGACTTTCCTTAACTTGAAGCAACAGGAAGCAGATTGCTTGCGAGTTCCTTTTCATTTGATTTTTGTAACTTTTACATTGTTTAGGTAGCCCAGCAGAATTTTCTCAGCTGCAGGTAGATGATGAAATTCTTGCCATCAATAACACCAAGTTTTCATATAAGGATACAAAAAAGTGGGAGGAAACCATGGCAAACGCCCAGGAAACTGGAAACTTAGTGATGGATGTCAGGCGCTATGGAAAGTCTGGTGAGTTGGTTTCCCTCTGTGCCTGGCTTTCTAAGTGGGGAAATGCGACTTTGGCAAGTGGTTGTAACAGTTGGCTTTATTAATCCTCTCCCTACCCCTGTTTCACGTAGCTTTGTGCTTGCAATTGTTTCGTCATTGTGCTTGGACAAATCATGGACCCCACCTCTGAATATTCCTCCTGAAAATGCTTCACTAGCAAATCTACTGAATTCGACACCATTTGACTGCTTATGTAACTGATCTGGCTGAATGCAAATGTCAGCGCAAATGTACCTGAACCTAGCAGTCACAAAGCTGCGCCTTAAGAATGGGTGCTGTGGTGGCGCACCTTTAATCCCAGCACTTGGGATGCAAAGGCAGGCAGATCTCTGAGTTCGAGGCCAACCTGGTCTACAGCGTCAATTCCAGGATACCTGGGGCTACACAGAGAAATCCTGTATCAAACAAAACAAAACACGCCCCCCCCCCCAAAAAAAAAAACCAAAAGAGAGAGGGGGGGACGGAGACTGATTTAACTTTCTCTCCAGTAGTTAACTATCCTGCTGTCATCAAGCTCACATTAGGACACCTTCCTTGTTATTCTCAGAGGGATTTATATCCCTGTGTTTCTGTGTCATTGGTGATGTAAAGATGGGAAGGGGCGTTAAGTCTCTTCCGACTCCCAAATGTTTGGTGTCGGCATATAACATGTAGTCCCAGTTTAAGAAAAGAATCAGCACGTTTGCTAGTTGTCTTGCTACTACCATGATCTCTAACCTTTGGGTTTTGGGAAGGTGGTCTGCTGGTAAAGGCCCCGAAGTCTCCATGTCGTTGGCACACTGGATGATTCATCTGTTTGATTCATCTGTCTGACTGTACGTCTGTCTGTCTGTGTACATTTTGTATCTGTTCATTCAGTAACTGTGTTCTTTCCACTTCACCATCTATGTGTATTCATTACTTGGTCTTCATGTGCCAATCAGACTGGGGCAGAGACCAACCTCCCCTGCCATCTACACGGCATAAAACCCTCAATCTTACCAGTGTGGCTACCAAAATTATAGGTTCACCTGAAACAAAGTGGACTGATACAACAACTTCAGGGATTTACAACTCGGACAAGTCTTCAAGTCTGTCGGTAACCACTGATTTCTCTGAAAGCCTTCAGAGTCCTGTAAGTAGAACGAAATAACAACAGAAGCTGTGTGTGGGGAAAGCAATCAGTTTTGATACTATATAAAAGATAAATAGGTTATACTTAATAAATGCACTAAAGTGTACTCTTGAAAATACTGGGTGTTTTTATTAGCAGCCTTTTATTGTTGAGTTATGTAAAGGTAACAACATTCCATAATGTTGCTCTGCAGGTCTTTCTGACCAATCTTTCATCATTACAGTCATCTCTCAGATCGGTGTGAATGAGAAATAGCAATTGTGAAAAATTACATTCTATACATTCTTTGTGTTCTGCAGTCTATTGGCAAAATGTAGTCACTTTGAACACCATGAAACCTCATAAAGCAATTGAATTGGATTGCATGTGTGATTAAGACGTAATCAGTTTCATGAATTGATTTAAAAAGCGCAAAGCAGGAAATTTCAAATTTTAAAGCAATATTTTTTCATATAGTTTTATGAAAAAACTGCTTTCTGTTTCTAATTACAATTGTTCATTTTAATTGATAATTTAAACTTTGAATTGAATAAACTTATCTAAAAGGAAATATTATTACATTTTAAAGGACAGATTTAAATGTTAAAGGATCATAAATGGTTGTTTTTACTACTTATGAGCCCAATACTCATAAATATAAGCCAAATGAATGAATATTTTATCTGTCATGCCTCTTAGAATATTAATGACTGATTAAACTAATGGTCATTCTTGCCTATAGCTAGTCATTAATCCTCTCACAAGTATTGCAGAGTAACGAAAAAATTAAGTTTTTAGTACACATAAGAAGCTGTGAGTAATGAATCAGTATCCTGAAAAACCCATCTTGTTTTTAAAGATACTTTTCTCTAATGAGAGATGTATTATTTAAGCCCAAAGTCTAATCAGAGAGAATGTTAATTAGCATTTTACCCTTTCCAGTATACCGAATCTAAAGAAATCAATGGAATTCATGAGGAAAGCAACACCTTTGATTCAAAAGGTAAAGATCACTTTGAAATTACTTCCATTTGTTCCACAGGGTAAGTTACAGCTCTTGAGATCTGCCATAAAAATTAATATATGTGAGTGAAGGAAAGCCGAATGCACAGCAAGTTGAAACCAAGATTAGCATGCAGATCCAGTTGCTGCCAGGTGGGAAGGAGTCAGTTCCAGTGTGGAACATTGCAGGAGCTGTAAATGCAAATTTGGCAGCAGGTTCTGGAACTCTGGGTACCTGTGTGCCTAAGCCAAATAAGAACAGGTTTTCCCGGAGCCATCAGCTTCCTGGCTAAGGAGTGTTGGCAGAAGGATCACTATTAAATACAAAATGGGAGGTTTCCTTTCCTTCTTCATTGTTCTGCAGAGAATCACCAAGGCAGTAACAGTTGAGAGTCACCTTTGTCTTGAAAGAAAAGGCCAGAAGCATCCAGGGTGTGGTTACAGTTCTCACTCTCCTGGCTTTGACCATTCAGAAATAACTTAGCCACTGATTGCTGTTATGCTGTTTCTTAGACATATCAGAAAGATCTTTCAAGACCATATAGGCATGGAAGAGGCCAGAAGAAGCTAAATATCTTACACCATGAGACCAGGCTTCCTGCCATGGGGCTGTGTTTGCTTTGGTGACTTTAGGCACACTTGGGTAGTTTGAAAATATGTTGAACAAAGCTGACCAAAGTACATGAATTTCCCTCTTCTCTGTGATTATTTTCTTTGTCTTTCATTTCTAATAATTAGAAGCTGGGTCTGTTGTTTCCCTTATCAACAGTTTTAAAATAAACATTGCTTATTTTGCTTTATGAAAGTAAAATCTCAGGAATCCCAGTTGGGTTCTTCCCATGGCCCAGGTAGTAGAGCCAATTGATAGAGACACCTATGTGGTGACCATGCGACTCTCTGAAGGGCTTGCTGCTTCAGGACTGGTTAGATAAGGAAGCATAAACCACTATCAGGTGACATTTACAGTCTGGACCACAGTTTTGGGACCCGACTATGGGAGAAGTCGTATTAGGTTTTCTTTTTCTTTCTAACCCTATTAAAATAAGACATAAGCCAGCATCTATACATTTCCTAGATACTACTATAGAATATTCTAATCAAAGACACATTACCTTTAGCGTATGTTTTCATCTGGCCATTCTTTAAGTTTTATAGCTTTTGATCTCTTCTTCTCAAATACTTTAAAATTTTTCTGCATCTGCATCATGTTGTAAAAATGCTTTGGTAGACATACTATTAGGTCAATTAACCTAGACAAAAAGTGTTAGTTTTCATTTCTTGGAAGCCCTGCGCAGTAAGATGATGGTATGGCTCTCCTTGCTGTGAACATACAATGCTATTTACTAAAAGTAATTAATAAAAGTATTTGTTCCTCTTACTAATTTGAATGTAGTGTAGACTACTAAAATGTGTGTGTCTGCCTTGAAATAATCTCTATCTTTAGGGGCGACCAATTTGTTATTTTAAAAAAAAAAAACATTGCTACAGATTAGAAAGGTATAACAAGTGGTAAGAAATTGAAATGAATGACATGGTATTTATTTTCTTATTTTTCAACTAGCATCAGAATCCATTTCTTTGAGAAATTTAAAAAGGCGATCACAATTTTTTGAACAAGGTAAACTGTAAAGCTAACTCTTCCTGGGCTCTCATGAACACTTGCCTCACCCTCCACTCTTCCTTGTAGTCTGTGGTTCTGGGCACCGGTCTCCTTCCATCTTGCTGCTGTTATGACCAAGCAACATAACCCATTTCCGTTCTTTCCCCAGGATCACCAGGCTTTTCTTACAGTTCATGGGTCTACCTCTGTGGTAATGGGTCTTTGCGTGTCTTTTGTCTAGCTCGCAAGGTGTTTCTCTCTTTTAACCTTGTGAAAAAAACAAAACAAAGCAGTGAGATGCTATTAAACACACGTGTTTTTCCACTGGGTAACAGTAAGAAATGAGGAGTTTCATTTATGCCTTACTGCTTTTTATCATCTGCACAGTGTTAGGTTACACCAACATGTGTTTGGTCAACTTACAAAAACAAACAAACAAACAAACAAACAAAAAAAAAAAACCAACAACAACCAGTTTTTGGCTATGGGAATACTGTTAATGAAGAACAGAGTTGCTTGTTGCTGTTACAATGATGGCAGAGGACTAATAATGATGACTCTGTTGATGCCAAAGAAAATTGGGGGCCTCTGAACACGGGAGCGTTGCGAAAGCTGTGTTGGTGTAGCTGTGCGGGGCTGCCTCGTGAGGTGTGATGCATGCGGCCTTTCCTCATCTTCACATTGTCTAACACTCTGTCTCCTGAATGTGTTTCCAATGTTTTGCTACGAAGGACTTAAAAATAACATCTAACATTTCAGATGCAACATCACAGAAGATTTACTGTGGCCATCTAAAATGTTACTGTTTCTTTAAAGATTAATGAAACATTTCAAAATTTGCTTTATGATGCCTCCTGGGTTTGTGTCTGTTGTGTTTATTGCCTAATAGTCTTCCTAAGGTAGATTAAGTTTCATCTCAGACCCATAGATAGAGTTTATCAGCTATCTTTGGAGCTTTTGATTTGTAGTTTCTCACCAAACTCACTATTTTCTGTGGCAATTCAGTTGAAGTGATAACACACTCCTAATTTGATCTGGCTAAAGCAAAATAATTCCTCGTCTTTATTTTAGTTTTCTGTCACCTTTCAATGAGCTATTTTAGAGGAGAACATTTTCCTATGTCTTAAAGCAATTTTCTTTAAATAGTTACATAAGTGAACAGTTTATGTGACAGCTGAGATTCCAGGAAAGTTTCTAAATATCGAATAATAGTATATTTTGTAAAAATTCAATTTTCTATAATTGTATAATGTGTTCACACACATTACTATAAACTCCTTTATGATAAAAAGATTGTTAGTTCAGTGTAGTCATACACAGCTCTATTGCCAAGGCTAGGCAGCAAGATTAAAAGTTCAAGGCCAGCCTAGACTAAATTGTGTCTCAAAATAGTAGTCAAAACATTGGCCAGGCGGTGTGGTGCACACCTGTCATCCCATCACATGGATGATGGAGTCGGGAGGACTAAAAGTTCAGAGTCATTGTTGGCTTGAGGTCAGCCTGAGTATCATGAGACCCTGTCTCAGAAAACAACAAGAAGATATAATAATATAGTGTCTGATCGTTTGCACATCAACCTTGAATTCCTCTTCAGAATAATGGAAGAGGAAAGGTGTCTTGAGCTCGTTTTTTGCCATCATTTCAATTCGAAAGCAGTTCATTAGCAAGGAGACCTGGGAAATGAGATTGGCTGCTGTCATCCTTTTGATGAATATTTGCAGTAATTGGGCTTGGAGATGTAGTGTTGGTGTTCTTTTCCCCTATTAAGCTAAACTATGGGGCGCTGTTCAGTTTAGTATCAATGAAGCCTCTTATGAAGGCCTCAGCAAGTTGGTGCTGTTCCCTAGAGTTTGGGGACCAGTGGTTTCCTCTGTTACTAAATTTGGGTTTGGAAGACGCGTACAGATGGAACTGAAGGGAAAGGATTCATAGCTGCGTTTCAAAGAAAACCGATGTCACTTGGCATACTGGCAGAGACAGCTAGTGAGATCTGACTCCCTGAAAAGAATTATTTTGTAGAAATGGAGACTGACATTGTGCTTCTCTTCCTTCCTTGCTCATGCGCTGCAATGCAGGGAGCTCCGATTCTGTGGTTCCTGATGTGAGTATTAGACCTCTGTAGTTGGGAATATGTAAGGGAAGTCTGGCGGGACTGGATTACTACACAGTAATATTTCTTGCATTATTTTAAGATGTATAAATGTTGATTGGGTTGTCAACTAAAAAAGATGATGTTGAAATGTGAGACCATATCTTCTCTGTTATGGTTTAAGCCAGCATGAGATGAGTAATTGATGAGTATGGAGGAATTTCAGTAGTTAACCTAAGGAATCATGTTGACCTGTGTTCTACATCTCTTGTGCCACAAACTGGTTAGCTTCCGGTTCCAACCCTCAATGCTTCAAGTCGTTGGGCATGGGATCAAGAGGAGGAGAGAAAACGACAGGAGAGGTGGCAGAAGGAGCAGGACCGCCTACTTCAGGTAGCATTGCATAGCCCGGGTGAAGAGAGGGCTTAGCTTTTAGTGCTCTCTTCTGGCCAGTGCCAACCAGTGTTGAGAAGCAAGCTTGAAAAGAAGCAGAATAAAACCAGCGTCCGTGTCACTAGTAAACCCCTTTGCATATTGGGTGCATATTTTGTATTAAATCCTTACTTTCCATTCTGATGATTGTATAAACTGTCAGGCATTAACCCCTATGGGCACCTTGGAGACACGAGGGGCACAGTCTGTGAGGATTTGTCCCTGTCAGCAGTAGATGAGGGCTGTTTTGTCATCAGTCTCTCTCATCCTCGCTGGAGGCCTTGATGAGTTCCATTAACAGTAGAGCTTGGGCATAGGGCATAGGTCTCCTTCCTTGTGGCTACTCCTTCCTGCTACCTGGACATCCACATTTCACGTTAGTGCAAGACCTCTTTTGTTTTCTTCAGGGACTAAACTCAGTTTGGTCACATGAAAGTGATATGGAGGTTTACAGAGAGCAAAATTGTTAATGGGAAATAATTGTTTCCCATGAGAAGGCAAACCTTGATTAATTATTATGCCATATTTCCTCATAGGAGAAATACCAACGTGAGCAAGAAAAGCTGAGGGAGGAGTGGCAGAAAGCTCAGCAGGAGGCCGAGAGGGAGAATTCCAAGTACTTGGATGAGGTAGCATGAAGCATGCCTCGTTCCCTTCTTCCTTCTCTTGTACCTTTCTGGAGAGCCTAGGCAAGGAGTGCCACACCCCATTTCCCTATACACATTCTCACCTCTTTGGAAAATATATTGAACTCTCGTGTTTTAGAAATTTGCTTTTACATTTTAATTTCTCTCCTAGTTTTTCTAGTGTATCATCAAGTAATTATTTCTTAGAGTATCAGTAGTCTTTTTGCCCTTAGCACTTCAGTTATTCACATGATTCTTTTGTTTGTTTTTTTTTTTTTTGAGTTGTAACTATCTTCTTGGAATTCCAGACTGATTGTCATATTGTAGTGTGTGTGTGTTCGCGCGCGCGCGCGCGCGCGCGCGCGCGCGCGCGCATTTATTTATTTATTTATTTATTTATTTATTTATTTATTTACTTTTTGCTGGCTACCTAGGAGCTGAAGGTTCTAAACTCCAACAGTATTTCTCTGACCACTCGGGAGCCTGCTGCTGCCACATGGGAACACACCTGGAGTG